ATGAAAAAACAGAAAAAAATATGTATTTGCTAAGATGGTTTCGAACCTAGTACCTAGAAATAAATCGTCAATTAATTGCGATTACTCGCTAAAATCGCCTAAAAATCACCAAAAACTCGTCAAGTAATCGCGATTAAGCGCACGATTAATCGTATGATTTTTCACGATTAATTGCCGATTTTTATGCGATTTTTAGTACATGGGCTCTCATAAAGTTTTTAATTTCATTTCATAAACTTCGGTCACAATTTCCTTCGTATGTTCAAAGCTTAAAGTTGTACCTCAAGACAGTATTCTGAAAAGCTCTTGTTTCTTTTTCTTTAAACTCTCTGTGGTAGAAACGTTGAATGTTTTTTGCATTACTCCAGCTAGCAGTTCTAAGAATATCCGAAAGTGAGAGCCCTTGACCAGATGCTTTTGTTGTTGTTGCTACTCTACATGAACGTGTTTTGAATGATTCATTTGTCCAAGAACAGCTTTCAGCTTCTGTTGTTTTAAGTATTCGTTATAGTCAGTCTGTTGAATGTTTGCAACGTGTTATCCGAAGGGCACAAGTCCAAGTCCGAACTTGAACTATTGCCGACGAACTTGAATGGAAACCGAGGGTTCTTTTCCAGTTTGTTTGAAGTCCAAGTGAGATCTGTGATATTCAAGAGCGAAGTCAGTGGAATCTTGTACGCATTTGCGCGTGTTTTCTCATAAAGTGGATTTCTTATGAGACCACACAGAGCTATTAAAAGATACGCCTTCGCAATCAACATTGTTAAAATTTAATTTTAATTCCATAACATTTTGTTTTTGTTCTTGTCCTTATTTCTATGTGATGTTTCTACTGTATATCTAACAAACAGGCAGACACTATTATTATTCAAGATAAAAATTTTCTGTGGAACTTGGACTTTGAAATGATCGAACTTGCCCATCTCTGCGTGTTGCCTTGTTCAGTTTCTTTTTTTGTAACCCGGGTCTAAGCATGGGCACTATGTAACTATTACTTCTCCATTCTCGTGTATGACAAAGAGCATAATACCTTCTTAATAATCTAAAGTTTCACATAGCTGACTCAAAAGCGAATTGAGTCAGTTTTTATAATAAGTCTTTTGCCTCGAGTCTGAGTTCCAGTCATGAAAAAGTGTGATTCGAGTCCTGCCTCATACTAGTCAATTCTGCTTCCGTGAGAAAAATGTTTAGAATCCTGCAGCATTTTTAATGAACACCCATGCACAAAACAGGATTCTTACGAATTTCTCGGCTAGAATTTTTACAGCTGATCTGTTCTCAATTAGTACAAAACCTGCGCAGCTTAATGTGAAAAGGAATCTCTATCCATCAACCGGTGATGTGACGTAATTACAAGTACGCGCGAATATTCATGCCGTTATTAAAACTAACAAAAAAATTGTTAATTTACAAACAGTATATCTCTGTCAGTTAACTATGTGCTTAATTAGCAGTTATTTGCCGGTTATCTCCGCTGTAATTCGGTGGTTTTCACCAAGGTTAGCTGTCCAAAATTCTCCGATTTTATTGATAATTTCAAGGTAACTCTAGAGATGTCGCTCAGCGACAGCATTCAACAGGAAAGAATTAATAAAAAGCGTTTAATAATGTTTTGGGAAGCCTATACCGAGAGTTTTGAATTTCTGCAATCTATCACTTTGTTGATCGGATCGTGTGATTACTATCATTGGTGTATTAAAAGAACCATTTATAGTTTAATCTCACATCTCTTGTAAGATTAAGCAGTACAGATCACACGATAAACTTGCTTTCATTCAAATTTCTTTCATTATACGCTAATACCAATGTATTTTAATGAAAGCTTATCTTGTCGATCAGCACTGTACATCTTAATCGATACGATCATTTTAAAAATAAAAAACGCTTTGGCGGAAAAAGCTGTTGGATTGCTCTGATCGATCGGGGAATGTGTGGTTCGCGAAATCAGGAAGAAACAAGCTGAATTATGTAGAAATATTGTATGTAGAAGGACAAAGCGAAAGTAAAATTAATACTTAATGTCAAGATCGAACCTGTAAAAATTGACTTCTGAAACTTATTTGTATTTTTAGAACAGTTTTTTAACAAAACTAGTCTACTTTATAAAGACTCCTAACCTTCAGCACATTAGCATCAGAAGATTTTGCGCCTCGCAATACTTGCGACTGACAGATCCGAGCATCAGTCAGAACAACGTTTGCTACAATTTATAGATAACATCGTTTTTTTAAGTTTCCATTAGCCCAGTTCCGTAGTCAAATAAAAACAACAGAAAAAGAGACTGGTGTTGCATCCCAACTGCGAACAATAAAAAAGGCTTAAGTATCTCCTATTTGTCTACGCTACCCGAATTGCAATAGAAAAGTTTAATTAACATTAATAGCATGCATAAAACGATCTTTGCACCAGCATATTACTTTTGTATAATTAACCCAATCTCTAATTTAGAATGTTATGGATTAACCAAGTAATAAAAAAAAAAATTTTTGAATTTTTTTCAGATGAGTAGTGACAGCAATGTATATCGCGTTCTAGCGTTCGGTGATAGTCTAACAGAGGTAATTTATAGATAATCAAAAAGAGCTGAAGACTGTGTTTAACACTTCTTATTTTCTTTTCTTTTAGGGTTTTCACTTTGCCGGATTTCGATATCATCCGTGTGAGTTGACGAAGAAAATACGTTCTATTCAGCACATTCAAAGTCATTCTTTTCGTTTAGATGCTACACGTCTAGCTGAATTAATATCAAATCATTGTGATTGGGTGTATAATGGTGATCCCAATCGTCCAAATATTGACGTAAGTAAACAATAATATCACTCAAAAGAAACTTCAAATGATACGTTTGGAAGATTGTTCACTCTATAGTCGCTAGCAGTTATAATAACTTCTTCCAAACTATTTTTTAGTATCGACTTTCATCTCCTTTTTTTGTATTTTCAAAGGTCCGTGCGGGTGGAAAAAGTGGTGAACGTGTGTTAGAAGGAATGATCGAACGTTTGAGAAAGACGTTAGACAGTGTTGAAAATGAATCTCGTTTTCGGTGGGTAATAATTTTGGGTGGTATCAATGATTTGTCATTGGGCGCAGAACCAGAACGAATTATGGGCGGTTTAAGACAAATGTATGATATGGTTTATCAACATGGCGCAAACCTAGTCATTATGACTGTAACCGAATCTGGTCTAGTTAAAACTAACGATCCTAGAGATGTAAAACGTCATCAATTAAATACATTAATTAAAAACTATGCATGGGAAAATCATTTTGCTGGTGGAAAACGAACATTTTGTGTCGATTTAGATAAATTAATTCCATGGCATCGACCAGATATGGCTGAAAAAAAGTTATTATGGGACGACCATATGCATTTAACACCAAGAGGTTACGACAAAATTGCTGAATTGATATTTCAAGTTATTGTGGATTATTTGAATCTCAAATAAACGAATTTTTCTATGTTAGATAACAATAAGAGTAGTTACTTGTCTTTCACAGAAACAACAACAATGATAGTTGCTTTTTTCTCAACAAAATCGATTTGTTTTTTCGTAGATTTAGTATGCAGAGATTATTTGTGGTGATTTCTTATATATACGGTGAATATTTTCAAAAAATTGCATTTCGAATATCCGGCATCTCTTTGGATCTTAGTCTTTTCATTTATTTATCTCTATGTTACTCTATGTTACGTTTTATTGATAATCACGCAGTATTTTTCTTATCTAGCATTCTGTTTTTCTTTTTCTCCCTGACTGGTGTTCATACTCTTTTTTTGAGTGTGTGAAGTACGTTAATGCAACATAAACTGAAATAAATAAACAAGCAAGTAGATACTTCGTCTCGTCGTATTGATAAACGTTAAAGTCAGAGAACTAGAGACAAGAGAGCTTGGTACAAAAAAATGGGCAATGAAAAACTGTACAAAATGGTATATGAATCATCTTAGTTGAATGTAGAGAAAAATTTGTAAAGAAAATTTGCTTTTTCATTAACTGGTATCCCTAGTCGATGACTGTTTCAGTGCTGTTTTTCTATAAGTAAAAAGGATCCAATTCTTGTTTGGCATAGAAGGATTGTGCGGGAAAAGTTCTACAATTCATTCTAAATGAATGAAGTCCAAATATTACCAGTTTATATTCTGACATGAGATTGACTTTAGGTGAAAATTACATTAGTACTATCCATTTCAAAATACGAGGGACCTCGCCATTTTTTGAATAACTTTTGATAGAAAAGTGCCACAGATTTATGGTTTTCGCCACTCGATAGAAAAGAGTTTTGTGCATCTTTCTATGGAAAAATCGATTGTGGTCTATCACTTCCAGGTGATGTATCTTATAATACTTTTTAGATAAGATCATCTTCCTTAAAAAAGTTTTGGATTCTGAATGCCGAAACGTGGGTTCGAACCACTGGACCTCGCTCTATCAGTCCACACAAGTCCCAAGTCTCTATCTACCATGGATCAACGTTCCCTGAGGACCTACCTATCTCAGTCTGGTTAGTTCTGATAACCTTGACGTTAATTCTAAACAGATTGCTGCTGAGTGTCTTGGCAATATTTGTATTCAAAAGAAAATTCAAGAACGTTGTGAAAATCTATGCTAAGTGAAATATGTTGTTTAGATCGATTTTGACTGGGTTATAAACTTTTTAATTTTCGATCAGAACAGCCAAAAATGGATTATGTCACTTAGTATTGATTCATATCCAGGGAAATTAGCCTAAATCAGCATATTTTTGAAAAAACTGGGATTTTACTAGGTCGTCAGATTTTTTTACAGAGGCAAACATTGCCGAGAGATTCAGAATGGTCGATAACCTAGGTTTCTATTCATTTTTAAAATTTTCACATATGATCTCATATCAATCCTAGTGTACCTGGAATATCCGATGTCACTGCGAAACGTCAACAAAAATGAAGAGGTCAGAGAATTATCATGTTGATGAGAACATCTGGGAACGTCTACTCATGTAAAACTTAAGTTTTGCTTAAGTGAAAAATTTGGCTTAAGTAAGATTTTTGCTATGTGTGTTTCTCGAAAGCATCTTAACTTAAAGGACCTCTCGACCACCCTTAAGTTTCAGCTTAAGGAGGGGGCCACCGTTCCCACAGAATATGCCCTCAAACTATGTCAGTTTGAAGAGGACACCTGATTACATATATCCTTCAGTTCTTTCGATGAACTGATAACTATTCAGAGAGTTATTGATTAATTAAATTTATTTTAATTAAAATTTTCGATTTCGATGGTATTGTAAAATAATTCATTATATTTTATTGGAATGTCCGATCAACGTCGCGGTAGAGTTATTTCTCTGATACCAGCGATAAAAAAGAATTTTCGAGAAAAATTTTCGCTGACGAAGTTGTAGCTGATCTCATTCTGCATGGAATAAGCGGAACGGAATTTCAAGAAAAAATTTTGAACAGAAGTTACATGAAAATTAAAAACTTTTTTGAAGTTTTTGTCATTACAAAAAAAACTATTCCGCTTACTCCACATAAAATTTCATGAGAAACAACTTTTGTTCTAACAGTTTTTATGGGATATGCTTTGCGTAGTCAGAATCTGTGGATCTATACAGAAATCCATAGTAGAAACCCCGTTTACCTAAAACCGAGTATAAATAACTGTTTATTGGTAACATTTTAAAAAGTCAAATACAAGGATTTGTAGCGCTTGAAAATCTCTCTCGAATGATGTATTACTTTATCGTTTACAATAAACTGTTAATTTGCAAATAAAAGTGTAAGGTACCAGAGTGCCATTAATTGGTATTCATTAATTATAAATTATTGTCTTTTTTTAAAACTTTTTTCATCAAACCATAACAACAGACCATTGGCTATCAAGCAATGCATGAATGACTTTTCTAGGATTATTTTTGACTGAGCTACAAGTTTTTTAAAATGAGAACTAGGACTTCAAATTTTAATTAAAATTTAAACTTAATTAATTAATAACTCTATGAATAGTTATCAGTTCATCGAAAAAACTGAAGAATATATGTAATCAGGTATTCTCTTTAAATTGGCATAGTTTGAGGGCACATAAAGGGTTAAATATGCTTTACACCCTTGTGCCGTTAAATATCCCCTTAAGTGGAATACTTAAGCTTTTTAAAACACAGGCTCCAGTAAAATACAAACAGAAAGCTAAGTTTTGGTTCCTCAACAAAGAAAAGAAACTATGTACAAAAGACATTGCTGATATCTTTATTTATGCTAAATTTACAAATAAAAAACGACACCAATAAGAAACCACTTGCTGTTGTTAATTTATTTATCAAACTCTCTTTTGAATTATTTCTAGTAGGGTTAACGTTTGAGCAATAGGAAACTAGCATTTGACTCCATCAGTCCTATCTAACGTTTCTCTTTCAAATGCGTTATAAAACTGCCTTATTTTTAGCACAAGAAATAACAGGACAAAAACCTTTTTCCTGTCCTGCTGGCTTACAGGGCAGGGCAAGATCGTCCTCCCCTATGCACACCGTGCTGACACTTAGTAACAATAATGAAACCTCTCATCTAATGCTATAAGTGAATCGAATCAATTTAGTTTTTCGAAAAGTTTCTGTTAGTGACTGCAACGTTTCTTCTCTGCTAATATCAATGATAATTAAGTAAAATTAAGAAATTTTTTTTATTTTATTTTAATTTTATTATTTTTTTAAACTGATGTGAGTATTGTCATTAAATTGTAAGCGTGTTGAGATTGCATGATATGTTTATCTTGAGGTCAAACGTTAAATTATATGATTATCTACCTTGATCGTTATTGTCGTGAAACTGTTTCTTTTCTCAACTATAATTTGTTTCCTTTTCACACGTCAATGCACTTTATTATTCTATTATTCTAAATCAAGTAATTGTTGTCATCTTCTAGATTACATCACAAGCATTCGTTCACTAACTTTATTTAACTCTCTGTGTAGGGATTTGTATGTACATAGAGAGATTAAACGTTTACAATTGAAAAAAATCGAACTTGCATGATTGTCAAATACTCGGATCAACCACCACCCGTCGAGAAACACTTGTTTGAAAAGAAATTTCAAAATAGAGTTTTTTGAAAAATAAAATCTGTGGACTCGTACAAATGAAATTGTTCGAGCGAATTTCTTAAGTAAATTGACGTTATGATCACTTGTTTGAATTAATATCAGATAAATGAATGGGGCTTTTGTATCTAAGGAAGATACATAGCTTTTGTGCCTGATCACGACCAATCGACCTTGTTCCTCCTCGATCCTTTGTTTATATCGAGTCTCTCCGAAGAAGACACTATTGTAATTGATTCAACTATCTGCTCTGCGGAGTGAATAGATTCATTGATTCCATTTTAAACCATGTTCTTATATCAAAATCAACGTTGAATTTTATTCGGGAACGTAAAATATATTAAGAAATTATGTATATATTCTGGAAAGGAGAAATATTAGCTTGGAAGTATGTAAATGTTATTCAGAATTCGATGAACGGTCTGCTTAATTTTATGAGAGCGTTGCAAAATGTAAAGAAAAACTGACAAAGGTCTCTATTTTTCCGCTTCTCCTTTAAGCCATTTCTTCTTGTGAATGATTTTTCTTACATACGCAATAGACAAAAGGTTAAAATAAGACTCACGCGGTTTATTTATCATACCTAACATTTAACAATATTCACAAATATGTAATGGAAAAAAGAAAATTTTCTCATGGCATTTCTCATTCTACATAAATACTGTCTAAAAGAATTATTTAGATTTTTTTTTAGTCATTGATCATACAATAGGTTAATTTTAGTATATATATATATTTTGATTCAAATAAAATCAATGGTTGCTTGTGATATCTTTTTCGACGCTTTTGTTTCCATGCATTGAATAAACGTTTTTCGTCTTTTATAAGAATATAATTAGGCTCTCTATTGAATAGTTGTCAACAAAAATTTTAAAATATGTCAATGTAAAAAACAAATGCTTTGTAAAAAGAGGATAAAGAATAACTGATATGTCAACAATAGAAGAAATAATAGTATAGATTGTGATTTATCTTTTATTAGTAATCAATTCTTTGGAAGAGAGTCTTTTGAGCTAGAATATTTATAAAATATGCTAATATCTACTAACAGTTCTGATTAGTAGATATTACATGCTAACAGAAATCTGATAAAGTCAATGGATAGAATTCATCGAGCTGATTACACTAACACCGAATAGTACTCTAATGGATACTTATTAGTGGCTGCTAAACAAACAAAAGATATCAATATCTCTCTTATTTAATAATTTAGCTCATACAAAACATAATCTAACGTTAAGAGTCGAGTAGCGTGTGGCTTATGTTATTTTTGAGTGTGTCACGACTAGATTCTAACTGTTAGTAGCCGTTAATAAGTATCCCTTTGAATATGAGTCAATGTTCGTTTAATTAACTCGATGAATTCTATCTATTGAATATATGAAATTTTAATTCAAGGGTGTTAGCGTATTTCACAAATACTCTTTTAAGCTAAGTTCGCTAAGGTAAGGCGTTATGGTTAATCGCTAAAATTGATATGAGCTATAAATATTGACAGAATGAGAAAAAAAGATAAATTTCTACATACATTTTCTCTCTTTCCATATTATTGTTCAAACATTCACCTGTACCCCCACTGATGTTCATAATTTGTTTAGTTCACTCCCATATCAATAAAATTTTTGTGAGATCATCGAAAAAAAACCAAAAATATTCTATGGAAAAAGATGAAAGATTCACCCGTTAATCGAACACCTATAGTGCGACAAATTCTAGCCACTTGAATATATGTTAAAATTTTCTGACGATGATCACAAGAGATTGTCTTTATTTATGAGAAAGAAAATTTATCATCAAACAATTCCACCGCGCGTACCTTAATTTTTTATTTAAAAATGCGACGAAGCAATATAATCGTATACACACTTGAGAAAAAATAAGAAAGAAAAGAAACTTATCTATTTAACATCTCTTTATTAGTTATTATCAATAGTGAAATAGATTATATAGTTAATCAGCTTACATAGAATTTTTTTTTCTTTATTTTTTCGTAGTTAATCGAGTGAATATATATAATAATTGCAACAAGAGGAAGTGCTGCTGACGATTTCAATCATACCGAACATATATAGAGATTAGAGAGGCATACATTTGTTGTAGACATCATTATTAGTAATCGTACGTTTTTCTTTATGAGAAAAAAAAAAATATCAAATTTTTCTCATTATATCTGTTAATGTCCATCATATATTAGTTTGAATGCATGATGCACACTATCGTGACTACAGTTCTAATCAAAATCAATCTCACATATCGTTACTATGATGAACTCAATTTCTTTGAATTATAGTCCATATAAACAGGCTAAGAAGGATTATATTGTACTCCAGCAGATTTACTACTTCTTTCTATGATATGAACATCTAAACGATAACGAATGAATATAAATTTTCATTCAAATTGATCTTTTACAGTATACATCTATGAAGAGCTTTTATTCTAAAGAACGCCCATAAATGACAAAACAAGTAAAGCAGAAATTTCATATTCGTTAAAAGTAGAATAGTAATTTATCGAAAGAACTTAATAATATTCGCCTTTTTTTTTTCTTTTATACAGGTTTCCGATCATTTTATCAACCTGTATAACCATTGTTTCGTTAACAGAAAAATTCTTTTCTTTAACAATTAGAGATGGGTGGAATATAAATCACAACGTTTATAAGAAAAAAAAAGAAAATTTTTTTTTTGTCGCCTGTCATCTAATGGATAGGAGGCTAGTTAAAAACTGCTAATGAATACTTTTGTAAGTATGGTTCAATAAGAAAAAGAAACATTATTTTTCATGAACCAGAAATAATTGAAAAAAAAATTCTATCCTAAAATGTTATACTCTAAATCATAATCGTACAAAAATTATAGTAGAGAAAGAGAAAAAACATTTCGAAAGACACGATAAGATGTTCTAAAAATCTTGGCTTTTTCTTATTTCATTATCTTTAACAGAGAGAAACGACCGATCTATATATCGGACTCACCACTTTTAATTCAATATTGAAAATCGTACATCTGTTTTTGAAATGTTGAGAAACAAAAAAATATTTCAATATCATTTTAATCCGATTGATCATTTCAGTATATTTTTTTGAATAGATAAACTGACCTGCAGGCAGATGGGTCAAACAATTCATACAACCGTTCTCAATACAAATTATTATAGTCACAAACATGTACTTGAATGAGATCGTACATTGTTCTTGATTTTCATTTATTTCATCAAGTACCCCTATTATCTATTATTTTGAACTTGAAGTATACATGTCTATGATACAGGTGCTGTTTTATACAAGACCAATTGTCTTCTTAGTAGATAGAATACAAAGTTTTTTTACAGTCGTCGTTACACGAATTTTTTTTTTTTTTTTTATGTTATTGCACTGATTATGTTGTACACTTCCGATTAACTCAACTCATGCCGAGAGGCTTTTAGAATAATTAGCTTTAAATACGATAAAATTGAGTGAAATTGTTCAGATATGTACATGAAGAGAGAGAAAGAGAGAGAGAACAGAACAGTGTATAACCGTAAAAACATACTGTCAAAAATTTACCTTTGAAGGTGATGAAATCACTATTTTTCATGTGGATGAGGAACGAATACAATATGTATGAAAGTATAATTTCACCTGAATGGACATTAATCGGAAGAATAAAAAGTGTGATATTGTGTCTATATGTATGTGTGTGATATTCAAGGTTGAATAATGCCAGACTGACGTTTCTGCCTCAAAATCGTTGTTGTTAGAGATATTTTAAAAGTCACTGTAACATGTCAAGAACAATAGATGAACGACATGCTTCGGTTCGTTTATCAAATTTGTTCCCAAATGAAAAATGAATGAACAAAGGCTATTGAGTTAATTATTGGCAATGGAAGAGAAATGAGTGAATACTTTTTCTAATCTTATAGCTTTCATATTCATCTAAAATTAATTCTCGTACTTCATTAAGGTGAATTTGAATCATAAACAAACTCTATTTTTAAGATAAGTCTAGTTATTGAGCTATATTTCAGTTATGTTTGTGAAAATAGAGGGAAATAGGTATATCTTCATTATCTTTGCAATCACATGGAATCATTTATTTTCTTCTAAAAATAGTTCAATAAATCTTCGTTTTTATATTTAGACTAATCCAGAACTGCCAACAACATATAATTAAAAATAGTTGAGCACACTTTCCTGTGAAACGATTGGTCAACTGTGAAATGATTGTAACAAAATTTCATGCAAAATAGAGAGCTAGAGCTTTAGTGATTATAACTTCAAGTTAAAACAATCACTCCACATTAGCTGAAAAGTTCCAATTCTCGAAATTGAAAAATAGCTATAATTCATTGTAACATTGAACATAACAAGAATTTTTCTTTGCATCTCAGATTCAAAACTGTCGATATTTTTTTTCTTCTGTGTCATACATTAATGGTTAAAATAAATACACAAACATTATTTTAAAATCAACTAATTGAGCTTTTATAAATCGAAAAATACAAATATTCAAAACAAAAAAAAAAAAAAAAATTCTTTTGTTTTCCGTATGTTCACAACGTTTGTATATAAAAGTGAGAAGGTAGAAAAGGGAGAAATCTATTCATCTTTTTCTTACTGTCATAACCAGAAATAAATTTAATGTGCCGTTGTACTACCCATATAAAGCATACTCGGTGGTGGCCACGGTGCTGACATTTGATGTAGTGAATATGGATTATTATTCATTATTGAATTTAGTTGTACAGGTGGTGGATTATTACTGCTTGTTGCTACTTTCATATTAGTGTAATGATGATGATTATTCGTTAATTCTAGCATATTATTACTACTATTGTTATATGTCGATTTTGGAAGAGAATGAAGAAGATAATGATAGGATTGTTGATGAGGATCAGTTTCATCTGAATTACTCGTGTTTGATTGTGATCGAGGAGTAATGAATTTATTATTTGTAGATGATGTTGCTGACGGTTGTGGACTGGTCGGCAGTGAACATTCTTGTTTTACTAAAAACATAGAATTATTATGTTTTTCATATTTATTTGATGAACTTTTATTTTGTGATGATGAAATTGATGATGATGATGAGGAGGAGGAATTATTATGATGACTAACATTTTTAAATAATTTTTTGTGTTTTGATCGTTTATTTTGAAACCATATCTTCACCTAGAAAATACAAAAAAAATTTTTTAATATTTTTCATCACTAAAATGAGATAGAATTAATTCTATACAACAATTATTATAAACACATTTAATATACACAGCATCGTTGGTAAAGTTTGACCATATTCAAACAAATCAGCCAAAATAAATAATCTATTATTTCATGTCAACAGTATACACTATCATAGGTTTCTATCAGACAGAGAGATATGAATAGACAATGCCTACATATAATGTACTCCTACAATATAATCAAAAATATTAGAAAAAGGTTGATTTTTTTAGGATTTAAATCTTAAACTAATGAACTTAACTACGCAAAGTTAGTGACATTATATCAGAGCAAAAATATAAAACGATAAACTTTTTTTCTTTTTCATTCAAAAAAAAAACATTTAAAAACATGCTAGATAATTCTAGTCTAATAGATTAGCATACATACTTGAGTCTGTGTCAGGCCTAGAGAAGCGGCCAATTCTGCTCGTTCCGGTAATGCTAAATATTGTGTACGTTGAAATCGTTTATTCAACACTTGTAATTGCATACTAGAATATATTGTTCGTGGTTTTCGTATTTTTTTTCCCTTTGCTGTTAATTTTGGTCCATGATCATCATATCGACATTTATCATCTGAAAAAAAAAATTGAATAGCCAATATTGATTACATCCGTTATTATTTGTCGCTCATCATACACACATACCACTATCAAGATTTAATGTAGCATAAGGCAATGTTGACATTGAATAGGGATGAGATGAAGCATACGGATTTGTTACAGATGAAAATGGATAAGCTGCAAATGGACGAGTTTGTGACATTGAGTTATAAAATGGATCCGTATTATGATGATGTCCAATGCCATTTTGAAGTCCATGAGGTCCACCCGAATGATACAGATTTGTTCGATGTGCAAATGTTGAATAATGAGATGGTGATGTTGGTGATGATGATTCATTTGTAGATGTAGAAGATGATGGTAAAATTGTTGTTGTACTGTTAGCTGCTCCAACGGCAGCAAAATCAAGAAATGCACTCGTCTTTGTATCATGTTCAAATGTTCCCGTTAAATTTTCATTAGTCGTTGTCGTCGAACAAGAGTTATGTATCATTATTATTTCTATTATATTCACGATCTTTTTTATTCTTCCGTTTTGTTGTGCCCGTTTATTATTTATAATTTGATTTTATAATTTCTTGAATCTCTAATGAAATGGTATTCGAGAAATAAATAGTAACAATTTAGGAAAAAAACGATTGTGATAATTTTTTAATAAATGACGGCGAATGATCATATGAATGTATAATGTGTATAATGATAATGACAGCAAATATTACACTCGTGTGTTATAAGTGTGTTAGAGAGAAGGAAAGAGAAAGATGAATAGAATTAATGAACTTAGAACAGCGTAAAAAAAATAACGTAATTTTAACTTTGTCGAAAAACTAATAATTACTTTCGGATAAAAAATACAAGAGAAAGGATGATATTGGATGAAGTAAAAGCAGTAATAATAATAATAATTGAGAAAAGAAAAATGAAGCCTTATCACTAATTTGAATTTTTTTTTCTTTTTCCTTTTTCTTCAAAAAGAATATTATATACTTGAAATAAAATTACTATCATCATCTTTGTACACAGTTGTGTATATATGTAGAAAAAATATGCATATTTTTCATTCGATGAACTTTTTTCTTCTTTAAATACTATTGGCTCCCTATATTGGATGAAAAGAAGTGTCGAATAATCTTATGCTGAGAGAAAGAAAAAAAAAAAAAAGAGGAATATTCTGACATTGAAAACAGAATGTCTATCTGTTCAGCAACAGTAAATGCCACTTTTATTTTAAAATCACAACCGTCCAAACAAATTATAATGTCATCGATCAAGTGAACGTAACCTTTCTTATGTCAATAGGCGTATTTCAACTCACCGAAGTCCTGAGACTAAACTGTACTCAATAAATAAATACTTTTCTTTTTTTCCTTAGTAAAAAACAAAAAATTTGTAATACTGAAGTTTTTTTTTATTTTCACCCATAATCTGAAGGATCGGAACTACGCAAGAATAAGAAAACCGATGCGTGTGCTGTGAGAACTTTTCAAGTGTTTTTTGCAGCATTTTGCACTTTAATCATTTCGATGATACACTTAAAGTGACACTTTCGTATTGCAGTGCACACACTTCGAGTAAGATTTTCACTTCACTCTATTTAAAACTGGGTTCGTACCGGCCCTTCCTGAAAATATAGGATTTGGAAAAGGAATTTATATAGGACTTGTCTAATAATATAGGATAAATATAAGACGTCTGTTTTCACTAAATCAACACCGTTTAGTATAGTGAAAAAACACCAGAGTACCATTGAGTATCATTTTTATACAAAAGACAAGTACCAGTTTTCATGACTACTGATATATGATATGACTAAAACTATTTAATGAGCCTTTGACCAAAGGTGATCAAAGTGATGGTCAACCGAATATGTTTGTTCGCTATTTTTTCTGTTCATTATTTCTCTATTGTCTAGTCAAAATTGCTCCTTTTAATTTCTTTGTCTTATACTCATACTTACAGACTATATAATGAGTTATCTTTTCTTCCTATGTTCATTTTTCTGATGATGAAGTGTGAAACACATCGAAAACTCAAAAATAAAATAAAGTTAAAGCATTTAGTTAAAATATTATCATGTACTTTGTAGCAGTTTTATACACATTTTTCTATTTAATATTTCCTAGTGCTCTACCTTCTGGTTTTTTGGGCTCTTTTTTGTTTTTCGACGACTCAGACAGTCTGAGTCACTCCTAGACCTAATGCTTTCTTCGCCCAAATTGTTATTTTTTTACAAAAAAATTTTTTGTGATTCGATCTGAATCCATTTTAGATAAGTATTTGTTCAATCACACATGCTAAAAATCAGTCTTCAACAAAGCTTGGTTGGATAAAACAGATAATGAAGGAATAGTAGCAGCATAACCCCACTTTGCCCACAAATATAGGACAAAAGCCTGAAATATAGGACGATTACGAAGCCAGATTTAAAAATTAAAAGTACTTGAAGTTAGCAACTATTTGCTGCTGACGATCGGGATAATATCGAAGTTGAAATATTATCAATAGACATACTTTGGGATTAACTTGTAATATTTTGTTCTACATCACTTTCATCTATCCTAATACTTTTAAGTCTCATTTAGTTCGACAGTTATAGACAAGCATATAGTTCACGATTTTTAGACATTCCCCATTTAAATATCCATGCCACTTAATAATTAGTTTACTTTACTTACTCACAGATGCAGTATTGGATTATGATATTGCATTAAAAATACGTATATTTGCCTACATCAGTCTCATTTCTCTTTCAATATTTTATAATCAACATATTCTGTTCTGTTGTGAATTACGAAATAATAGTTGAAATGAATCTACTAAGCTATAGTTTTCCCGTATATTTGTTCCAGCCATTCGAAACACATTGACATTTAAAAATGAAAGTTTTCTACTGCTATATCCGCATGTCATATTCTCGTATTTCGGATAATGAGAAAAACCAGACATACTCGTCTCATATGTCTGTCTACAAATCGTTTACAATCAATGAATGACTTAGAATGTTGGAAAGTTTTTCAGTTTTTTTCGTTAAATGATTATACTAAATATCTTCTATTTATGTGAAAAGTAGTTGATCTGAAAATTTAGATTCGCTTGCAACAACTAGTCGAATTACATAATAAAAGTACTTTTTCACTCCGAAACACAGAGCAGACACATTGTATTTTTTTCACAATAAAAAAATATATGGTGTATGATTTGTCTGTTTTGAAAGGAAATAAATTATCATTGGATCTGTATATCCATCATTATAATAGTCTAAAACATTTTTACTCGTTCTCTTCCTTTTATGCCATATAATTATGTGAATAAAACGGATGTAAAATTAACAGTGTGTAAAAAAAGTTCCATACAAATTATAGTAATTGACTAAAATACGCTGTTAGTTTTCATCTTTCTTTTGCTGATAGTGAGGAGAAAAAGATCTCAAGTGATCTTGCTAAAAAGACTAAACAAAAACTGCTATAGAATCTTAGTTTAATGAATTATGAATTGTTATATCAACTAACAGATAGAATTTGTTACGATTAATGGATCGCCAAAGTTTTCATTCAAAAGAATCCGAAAGTTTTTACTCTTGCACAATTTTTCATTCAGACGTTCATGCAAAGTTGGAGTAAAAGAGAACTGAATATTTCCTATTGTCATTTATACGAAACGCACTGTAATGCAAACAATATCTACTTTATTTAATACTATGCAGAAGTAAAATGAAAGACTAATCTGTAGAAGAGCAAAATGTGCATGTAATTCTTCATTGAGCGTAGAAGTTAATACCTTCTACAAAAAGTCAATGGAGAAATATAATAATCTACCTGGCGTTTACTACCCAAATATCTATCAAATTAGATAATCCGAGTGAGAAGCCAGGAAAATTCAAAAAAGCCCAATTCAGTGCTCATACTCATTATAAACGACAGTATCTCATGAATAATTAGTACAAAAGTTTTGTTTTTATTTCATTGAAATAGTAAACAATTACAACGACAACAGATAACAAGCGAATATGTATGCAAAAACGAACAAAAACTGTTAAAAACATGTTACAAAACTAAATCTTTTTTAAATTTTTTATTTTGGCCATTCGTATCTCCACTACGAAAGTTGTATTGTCGTTTTATCGGTAAAGTCGATGACAAATCTTGATTGAATTGATTTTTCTCACTAAAATACAAAGAATCTTATCCACAGCTGTTCCACTGACTAATTTTCGCTGTTAATATTTCACACAAGCAAGTCTGCAGACAGAGGAGAGAGCTGAAGAAACTGCTTCCAAGTAAACCTGGAAGTGATGTACCTTCCTGACCATCATAATCAAATGAGCGAGATTAAAAATAGATAACATCGACTCGCCCTCAAATTTTATTTATTCGTTCAATAAACAAGGGTTTCAAGTTCTCCCTTCTGGAAATATTTGTCGTATTAAATCTGACATTCACGAAACTTTTTCATAAGAGAATATGACTATGATATATATTTTACTTTGATATCTGTAACCGTTAAAGATCTTTCAATAAATCCCTAAGCAAAACCGGGCTATTTTGCTACGAAGGCTCCAGAACTTAGATTACGAAGCCGAGATTTGAAAATTATTTCAATAGTTATTAAACAACTATAAGTCCTGACAGAGTCGTTTTTTTCGCATTTCTTCAATTTTAAAAAAATGTCGAAAACATCCTAAAACATATTGAAGATATTGCTCTATGCATGGCTTTACCGTGCATTTAAAGAAAGTTTATCTCAAAAATCGAGCTTTGTCAGGACTAAATAATTGATTTATCTATCAAACAAAAAAAGAATCATTGTTCTACAATTAAGTGAAAGAAACTCTGCGAAACAAAGAAAAAGTCACATCTGAAATATGATAGCGCTGCTAATGCACGGTACATATCTCGAGGTCTTTCCAGAATTACTACAATTTTCAATCTAAGTGTCATTCAGACAGAACTGAGAAACAGTTTATTTTAATCAAAAATATCTTCCCTTCAACTTAGTATCAGCTAAAGTTTTTTTTATGAGAATATGTACTGAAGCGAGCACTTTCCATACAGCTTCCCAACCATATACTCCTCTCAATACCAGCTCTTTATAAAAGATCTTAGATTCCAGAGCAAAGAGTGATCTTAATCTGATATATTCATAATAACTTAATATATTCTCCTAGTTTTAAGGTACTTAACTTCATTTCTCAGACAAAAAACTCAAACGCTTAAAGTTGCATAATCTTGTTCACACAGCAGATGTTTCGATATTGATCAAATATAAATAAACTAAATATCCTTGTTATGTTTCGCGTATTTTTAAAAGGATTGTATAGAATAATGCAGTCTTTCGAATAGCAGATGGTAGAGAAATATTGCCAGAGAAGTTTTTTGTACTAAGTTATCTCTATGCAATTTTTTCAGGAGGTGTTCATATTATCTACGATCAAGAAAACGTTTGGTCTCCGTGAAAATCCTGGCTACGGGCCTGCAAAGAAGCTACTTGCTACCC